CCTTTTCAGCAATTAAGGAGAGTGCAGAACGGTGAGAGTTGAGAGAGCCGTAAGACGCTCCCCGTCCGAACTCTTCAGTCAGGAACTCGAGCACTACTGGAGCCGGCAGAGTAAAACAATCGATGTTCTTTCCCTGGCAGAAGTCCCACCACTTGCGGAGTCCAACACTATACTGCTTGTGGGTTGACTCCGTAATTGACTGCGTCATAATGTCCGCCGTTGCTGTGGGGATACCCCTTCTGACAAAGGCTTGCCAGATAATACTCCTGCCACCAGGGTAAGTTGGCAAGCTAGGGGATGGACCAGAGATCTGCAAGGAGAAAGTAAGAGCTCACTCGAGGCCTTGAACTTGATGGGATCTCCCTCCAGAGCCGATAGAAACAAAGGATACCAGGGTTGAGCTGGCCAGAGAGGAACAACCACTATACCCCTCGCTTTATCCATCAGAATTTTGCGGATGGTCGGTAAAATTAACGCGAAGGGGGGAAAAGCATAAAAGAAAAAACCTTTCCAATTGATGGTAAATGCGTCGATTGAGAAAGAAGAGGGATCCCTATGCCATGAGCAATAATGGACACATTTTGCATTGATACGTGAAGCAAAAAGGTCGATCTGCGGTCTCCCGAATCTCTGTACCAGACGCCTAAAAGCATAGTCCGCCAATTCCCACTCTGTGTCCATATTACTTACTCTGGACTCATGATCTGCTTCAAGATTCTCTCTTGAGGGGATGTAAGAGGCAAACAGCCAGATTGATCTCGCTTCACACCATTGCCACACCTCTCGTGACAAGTTGTGGAGATGAGGAAATCTAGTACCACCCATGTTATTAATATAGGCAATAGCTGTGGTATTGTCCACTCGAAGAAGAATCTCACAATTGGACAGATTTTGAGCGAAGCAACAAAGAGCCAAGCGGACTGCTAAAAGCTCTAGATAGTTAATACTGTAACGTCTCTCTTCTACTGACCAGAATCCTCTAGCTGTGTTACCTTCACAGGCTGCTCCCCAGCCTGTGAGGGACGCATCGGTGAAAATAGTAATTCTTGGTCTCTTCAACCTGATAGGATTGGAGCAGGTCAAGACATGTGCTCTCCACCAGTCCAGGTCTGACTGGAGAAAATGAGGGATCACCATCAATCGGTCGAAATTCCCTTCATTTACAATCAAGCATGATTGTTTGACCCTTTCCAGTGATTTGGTATAAAGCACCCCATAAGCAGTAGCTGGACAGATAGAAATTAAGGAGCCTATCAAACGAGCGAAAAACCTAATCGAACATTCTGTACCAGGATGGAACCGATCCAGCAACTCTCTAATTGCCACACGCTTCTTCTGAGGAATCTCCAGGCATAGTTGCTTGGAGTCAACCACAAACCCAAGGTATTCACTACGATTGGTAGGAACAAGAGAACTCTTCTCTATGTTGACAACGAAACCTAGCCTGGCTAGCAGTTCGACTGTCTGTTGGGCATTTGAGTTACATTCCTCAGCCGAAGAAGCGATGCAAAGAATGTCATCTAAATAAATAGATGATACTAAGCCTTTAGCCCGAAGATAACCCATCACTGGTCTCATTATTTTCGTGAAAACATGAGGGCTAGTAGCTAAACCAAAAGGTAAGCAGGTAAACTGGAAAAGTTCATTCTTGAACTGGAAACGAAGAAATTTTCTATCTTCCCCATACACCGGAATCGAGAAATAAGCATCTTTCAGGTCAACTTTTGCCATGAAAGCGCCTTGAGAAATTAACTTTATTACCGTCCTTATGTCTTCCAATTTAAAGTGAGGGGGTACTAAGAACTTATTAAGTTTCTTAAGATTGAAAATGAATCTCTTCGTGCCATTCGACTTGTCTATTAAAAAATAGGAGGAAATAAACTGACCTTCACAGGGGGTACAGGGCTCAATCGCACCCAGACCTAATAGCCTAACTATCTCAGCACCAATGACTTTCCCCTCTAGTTCAGAGAAAACCGGCTCAGGAGGAAATCTGGATTGAAAAGGGGGAGAATGGAAGGGGATTCTATAACCCTTCACACACTCCAGAACGAAGGTATCTGTGCAGATACTTCTCCACTTAGGCATGAAGTGCCTGATATTACCAGCCTGGACGCTTACCACTTCTTGGCTTCTTGAGCCTTGTCTGGGACTGACGAGGCTGGCATCTGTCTGTTGGGATGGCGAGATCTGGGATTGGAGAAGCTGCTGGAGCCGCTGTTGCTCACTCGGGGCTTCCCTCGAGGTTTCGTGCCCGCTTGTGGCCTCCTGAACTTGACAAGCGGGCCTTTCGGGTTTAAATTGTTCTGCTTTTTTAAAGGAGCAGGAGCAACTTTGAGGTCTTGGCTGAGCTTTGACAACGTCTTGACCTCCTTCACCTTGTCCGAAAGGTTGGACCCATACAGCTGCTGGTCTGGCGAGGTAGCCTCTAGTGCATCACGGACCTGTTTATTAAGACTAGGCGATATGAACGCTCTTCTGGTCGATGAATAACCACGATGCACCTGAGTCATCAATTTTCCTGCATCACAAAGTTTCTGCAGGAGATCCAACTTGTCTATCTCATCATGCTCTAAAAGGTTAGAGACAGCTGCTCCCAGAGCAACCAGGGCAGAACCTGCAAGATTCTGTGAGGCACAAAACTTTTTATCCCTCTGAATCAGAGCATCCGTTGAGATAGCTAAAATCTCAGGATTTAGCTTTGGAGCTTCGAATTGGCACTTTGAGGACGTGCGTGGATACCTCTCCGTTAACTTGTCCAGAGCCTCTTTCTCCAGCGGCTTTGTTAACCAAACTGCCCAGCGAGTTGCTAGCTCACCTTGGAGAGATATTTCCAGCTCTTGAGGTTTAGATGGGTCAGCGCCCAGGACTTCCAACAAGTCCGGGTCCAGGCTGGAAGCGTCCTCTAGATCCACAACGACAGGATCAGTCTCAATAGGGGTTGTACCCTGTGAGGCCTCTGATGGGCTGCATGTCTCTGGGACGGAGGCGTCTGGCGCACATGTGTTGGACGTGACTGACACTCCGGTGTTTCCACCGTTTTTGCGGGTGTCGGATGCCTCAGGGGCAGTTGAATTTTCAACATCATGATTTTCCTTGTTTTCTGGAAAATGACGACACAAGGAGAGGTTAGAACGTGAGTCGTTCCCTGAGGATATGCTCAACCTTCCTTGAGGCCTGGACGATTGTGGCTTTGTCACTAGGATCGAGCCGAAATCCGTTGCGGCCATTTTGGGGTTATACTTACCATGAGCATCGTCGGGTGGCTGTGCGAAGAGACGCTGCACCTGAACATTTAATTTTTGAATTTTTCGAAGGATCTCGGCCTTCTCATCACGATCCTCATGCTTCCTCTTCTTATGTTTACCCATAATTAAATAAAAATACCTCAATATAAAAAACTCAATGGAAAATGCGTGTGAACCACTCGCGCACACACGAAACAATGAAAAGTTGGTAGGCCCCCGCACTAGTGGCGCCACGACCGACTTTTTTCTTTCTCTTTGGATTTGTGTGGCTCCAAGTAGCACTGGCGGGCTACTACAAGTGTTTGAAATCTCGAAGACGAGGCTCGAATATAATCGGAGGAAAGTTCGTGGGGATCTATTGGTGAACCCTTTTCCGAGTCCTTCATTTCATTACAATCCAGGAGAAGTTCAATGATCATTTTTTCATCCGGGAAAGAGGGGTGTATGTCGGTGCGGAGATTCTCTTTTATAGCAGATTCGATTGCTGGCGAGAGTTCGGTAGGTTCAGCAGTGTTTTCCGGGAAAAGAGGTGGAGGACGTTTCTTCTGCCATACGGTTGTGATACAGATCGCACATTGGTCTCCCCTCTGGATACGTCCTACTAGGTTCACCTTGCAGTAAGTGCACATCGGGGTTTCAATTTTCCACAGTGGAAGTACATAGTGGTAGGTATTACTCGTCAGGTTCAGATTTCTCAGTCCGCTGGTGGCACAGGCGTCGCAGCAAATGAAGGTGTTGTTGATGTATCCAGACATCTGGCAGCATGTAATATTTTCTAGTTCGTCCCATAGTTCTCCAACTTCCTTGAGATCTACAGCGCGATAAATTAACTGGGAGAGGAAGTGGATACTCGTCTCGCTTGATGAAGCCATGGTTCACTAGAATGTTTCAGAGTGTTTGTTTATGTGTTCCCCCTTTTTATTAATTTATTTACTTCGTGGTAGTTAGGAGTAAGTTATTTGATTAGATAGAGTTTAGAGGTATTCGTTTTCTGTGAGGAGTCCGATTTTTTATGGTCTAGGGGTCCCGTAGCGATAGAGCGTAGCAGGTGTGATACTTAAATTGGGTACATTGAGGTAAGTATTTGGGACACAGGTTGTTCCATAACGGGTTCTACTCCGTCCGGGTTAGTTGTGATTTTTCTTGGGTCCGTATCCTCTGTTTTGCGTTCGATATCGTCATCAGAGATTTTCTGTTCAAAATGTAGCAAGAAGGTTGTGAGAGAGTCCCAGATTGCTCCCAGCAGCTAAAAACCCCATCCGAAGGCTCGGTGTAATGCATATCCATGGATGAATGTATCGATAAGAAATTTTATAATTTTCCCGATGATGAATAGGCCAATCATTCAGGCGCTGAATGTACCAAAGCCAGTCATCCAACTCCATATCTTGGCAAAAGCTCTTTCGGCGATCCTTTCCAACGAATGGTCATCGATGAGGTTGGAGAGCGAGATTCTTGAGTCGTGCATAGGTTCTCCCATTGCTCCTCGTGCAAGGACATCCAGAGTTGCGGCTTGTTCCTCTGGGAACATTAGGTGGTCTTGTAGTTTTTCTAAATCGCTAGATGAATATATTCCTGAGGTTGCGAGAGCTTTCAGATTTTCATACTTCCAGGTTTACTCAATGGTTCTAATTAACCTGGTCCCGTCGCGGGGGTTGGTAGAGGGTTTAGCTTAATCCATGCTCCATCAATGTTGTACATTGGGGCGATGAATCCGTGACAGTTCACGCGGGCACTGTGCTTTAGAAGCATATGCGTGTGAGGAGCCATAAACATGGTCTGATTGTTAACGATGACTGGCAGGTGGTTGTAGCAGGCTGTTTCTCGGGCAATTACTGCGGAAACAGGCAAGCATTTGACAATATGGATGACTTCTCCTGCTGTGTTTGCCATATACCCTGGTTCCTTCATTATCCGTAGAGCAAACTCTGCTGGTTTGGAGTAGGCGATCAAAAGAGAGTTTTCCAGCACCTGTCTCTCGAGTTCACATTTCTGGGTGAGAACGTTGATGTATAAGTCTTTTATTTGTTTTCCGAAGTGTTTCTCAACTTAGACGAATTTACTATTAACGTACGTCATGAGATCGAGTTTATTAACGGTTACTGCTTCTCTGCCTCTTGCCCGGCTCGCCTTGCTTACTTCAAGGATGAAGAGTTTGGGTTGTTCGGTACGAATTAACCGATACTCGCAAGAGTCTTCAATTCCCTTTTGCGATAAACCGAAGGTAATGTCTCCATGTTGTAAAGAGTAGACTTCTTGTATATTCTCAGCGGTTGTGGTATTGTCGTAGATACGCTGTGCAGGCCCTTCATATAGTACGTCGAATTCTTTCAGTTTGCATCTATTATCAGGCGCAGGCTTCCAGAATACACTGCGCCCATCACTATCTGCGCAGATTATTTTAGAGAGGGAGCAGCGCGGTCTTTGTCGGAGGTATACTTGGTCCTCGTTGAGATTAACAGGGGCATAGTAATCCTGTAGGGTTAATGCAAATTTCGCCTGTACGATAACTCCGCTCCATGATCTATAGTTGTCGTTGAATTTTCCTCCGGTGCATGTTCCGTCAGATTCTACTACCCCTGCGATAACGGCAGTCCGTTGTACCGTCTTATTGGCTTCTATTCCGGTAAATAGGGTATCCCCGTATCGATATTTTCGATTTTGGTGCATATCGAGGCAAATCTCAGAGCCTACTTCAACTAAATACTCTGCGTATCCATTATGGATGATCGAATTTGAGGACCAATGGCCAGAGTAATAGACTATTCGATCAAGCGCGATCTTACAAAGTCTTACATGGGTGTTCTGAAATCTAGACAGCTAAACTAACCTTACTTGAGTGTTGGTAATGATTGGTTTTCGACTTTCAATATGGCATGGTTTCACATTTAGCAGAGATATAGTAGTCAAATTGGTGTTTAGCGTTCCGCAGTCATAAGCGACGAACCCATGCGTCGCTGATGTAAGGGCAAGGATTGTTAATACTGTTGGCACATACATCTGAAACAAGATTTATTTCGAGCTTCGTTAGATACTTCTGTATGTGTTCGTAGAGATTGTTTCTTTTGTTTTTGTGCGGACGTATATTCCTTTTCGTGTTCGAAAGTGAGGGTTTGCAAAAAGAAAAATAAGTGTGCAGAACTGTCATTTATTTATGTTCTTTTTCTCTCGCCTTTTATACTATAGTTTCATATAAATGTAAGGTTTCCATCGGGCGAACGTGGTCGTAAACCTCGTCGTATGTGTGGGCGCTATCGTCATTGCATCCGTGGTGATGAGGAGGGTTGTAGACCCGTGAGCGGTTCTCAAGCCATGTCTTCATTCGTTGGGCCCGATTAAGGGCGCATTCGTATTTCCCTTGGCGCAGCACCCCATGAAGCAGACATTAAGTGTTCGAGGGAGGTAAGGCCTCGTAGCGGGGGATTATCCTTGGACAGTCGATGAGTTCACAGGCCATTATGGTCTCCAGATATGGTATGTCCCCTGCATCTAAAACGTAGATTCTGGCTGCTGTGTGGGAGATATTCCGAAGGAATTGTTCCACGTCTTGGAGATCACACGTCCCCCTCGTCCCATTCGATTCCATGGCTTAGACGGGTTTTCCGCCTGTTTGCTCTCAGAATGTCCCTTGGCATTTTCTTGATTGAATGTTCGGCCTTGATTATCCAATTGGTACTGACTGGATTTTCCACGCTCACTATCGCAATTTCTTTTCGGAAACGGCGGTTATTTCTGTGGCGCAGGACTTGAACGTCCAAGACGTAATTTAGGATCTTTGTCATCCTTGTACTGTCAGAAGAAGGAGTAGAATTTTAGTATTCCGTGAATTTTTCCTTATAATCGCCAAATTTTAGGGTAGTTGAGATATTCAAATTAACAAAAAAAAAAAATGATTGCGGGTGGAGGTAACAGTTTTTTCTTTTGAACTATTGAGGGATTTGTGATGGTGCCTGCTCGTAGTGTTGCACCCGTTGGTGCGGTTCCCATGTTTGTAGATTACTTTTTCCTTCCTTCTCCCTTTTTCAAAATTCTGGGAGTTTTAATTTCAATGGTTTTAATACTCGGTCAAAAATGTTATATGCGCAGGTGGAGGAGGCGTGTTCGGGTAGCTAATGCAAGGTGCACCTTTTGTTGCTGGCTGGTACCCAGTCTAGAGATTTTTACGATTTTTCTTACTGCTTCTATGGTTTCTCTGGGTGTCAGCTCGTCTTTTATTTGCTCCCTATTGTTTTTCCGTTTCTGGATCAGTCGATAAGGTTTTAGATGAATATTCCTGAGAGGGTGGTGTAATTCTGTCATCCAGTGGTATACCCGCTTCTCCTCTAGGGAATAGATCGCGACTTCTCTAGCGATTTTTTGTGTAAGCAGGGTTTTGTGAAATTGGATGTTGATGACGTATACTCCATCCTCCATGACCTATATAGATGTTATACAATTTTTGATTCGAACGTGCAATGGTACCATTCGGTTATTAATTTTCAAGGCTTCCCAAATCTGGAAAAAGCGAACATACTGATTAAGTCCAATCGGTTTTATATATATTTTTTCTTATTACTCGAGTGGATTCTGTGCTAATGCTTTCGCTACAAGATGGTGATGCATTACATTGTATAATTCATGTCCTATTCATTCGTAGATAAGATGATAGTGTGGGTTGGCGAGGAAGTGATCCTCGTTGTGCGTATTTCTTAATAATTTCCTGATTGACATGGGTGTACCGCAACAATAGTAAACGATCATTTTCCATCATCTCGTGAAGAAAAATCCTCCCCTAGCGGCGACAAGTTTATAGTTTAGGGGTAGTGATAGATATTTGAATATGGCCAGTCTAGTTCTGGAGTCGGCATGGTTCGGGTAATTTATGCGATCTTTTGTATAATGTATTAAAAATTTCAACGACGGGTGTTTTTTCAAGGTTGTCATTTTTTCCTTTTTCGTATTTCCGGTGTCTAGGTCGAGCAAGAATTCTTCGATGCTTTTTCGGGTTTCTGTTTCGTTCGGCATGATATTTTTATGGAAACTGGCCTGTGAAATCAATAGTCGGAGTCAACTGGAAACCCAAGTCTGAAGAGTCGATAGGGTGCGATTATTGGGGTAGTCGAGGATGAGGAGGCAGAAGGTGCGTTAGGTTGATGCCTTGTTTCCAGAATTTTGTTATTTTTAGCGAGTAG